CAGGAATCTACCATTACATGAGACCTTTCTCTTAATTGTACCTACAATTTAAAGCCACTTGTAAATTAACCCCTTGCCCTCCTAGCCAATTTTACTATTCCACAGTCTTCCCCTTTACTCTTCCCTTACCCTATTTTTCCCTCACCCTCAATGCAAATGCCAGCCATTACGTACATGTTTGAGTTCAAACAGAACCTGCCGGGTCAGCTCAATGCGCTTCTTATTGACATGTTTGATTGCAACAACATTTCCCTGATGGTGGGAGTAAAAAGGGAAAAGGAAAAATTAATATCAGAAGGATTTTCTGGGTGCTAGGAATCCTGGAGAACCATGGGAGCATCCAAGAGCTCAGCTGGACATAGAGAGGAGGGTTATGAGGGGCAGAGTTTCACGGGAAGAGGTGACAGATGGGGATGAGACAGGATGAAATGGTGGGGACCAGAACAAGCGGATGACTGTTCACCTTGAAGTGACCGGTGTTGGCAAAGATCTGGTATTTCCCATGGGCTGTCATGAGCGAGCCGTAACTGGATCCCCGCTGGGGCCAAGGGCAACATGGAGGCGGAAGGATGAAAGGAACATTAGATGATGGTGGTGGTGCAGGGGCTATCATTACAGGCCAATGTGCTGGGAAAGGTCCAGGGTAGGAAAGGACAGGAACTCAGAGGGAAGCAGAGGGACAGCTGAGACAAGGGCTCACCAGTGACAGTGTGAGGCGACTGCCTGCACCTTTATGATATCGCTCTGAATTGCCAAATTGCAGCTCTTCCCAGCGAATGCGCCACAACATGCTAGCCAGCTCCTTCTCCAGCATCAGTTTTCTGTAAGGACTGCACACCTCAGTTGACTGGCAAGCCCAATCCTACCACCCCGTAAGCCCACAGTGGGGTTGCAGGGCCTTCCCTGCAGCTCCTGAGCTGCAACTGTTATACACGAGAGACAGGACTGAGAGAAAAGGTTGCATTACAGGCCCTGTGCTCATTTAACAACACAGAAGTTGAAGGTCAAAGTTATTTCTTAAAGTGGTAGCATCCATGGAAAATTGACCTTTGCCCTTGTTAAGACCCCACTCAGAATCACTGGTTAGTATACCCAGTATCGAACCAAAAGTGGGAAAACAACATCAAGGCTAAAAGACAATGAATGAGAAAGGCTGGAGAGGAGGATGTTAAGTTAAAGAGACAACCACCCAATTAAGAGCCCTGCTACCCCCACCCTGTGTTACAGGGACCACCTGGCCTCAGCCAGAAAGCCGTGTGGCAATGCGCAGGGTTAGTGGGAAGCCCAGCACTCACCGGAAAATGAGAAAGCTGGAAACACCAAACATGATGAAGGTGATTCCTGTGCCCAGTGCCACAATTGCCAGAGTTGAAAGTGGAGCTGAAGGGGAGAGAGGGACCCTGAGAAAGACTGTGTGGAGTTGTAAGAATGGGGAAGGGGATGATGCTCAGGGCGCAGGGAGTAGGGAGATTTCTTGAAGAGAAGAAGGAGGGCAGTATAGAAGTAGAGGTAAAAAGAGAGCTAAGATGGGGAATGAGTGAGGGGCAGTAGAAGAATGCAAAGAAAAGGGAGAAAAGATTGCTCCCAGTCCCTGCACACACCCACTTTTATCACAGGACGGGTCGTCCAAGTCAAAGGCACAGGGGGGATTATCCAAGGGGGGCACCCCCTTCACCCAGGGGATAGGCCGTCCTGTCCACCAAATCTGCTTCTCGGCTCCTGAGTAGTGGGCTGCAGGCTGTGAGGAAGGAGAGAACTGGGCCCACCAGGAGAGAACTGGGTTCCCACCAGCCTCCTCCCTCAGACCCCGTTATTTGGCTACTTTTCTCCTCAACCTCTCTCCCACTCACCCGCCCGCCCAGGATGCCACTCCAGCAGAGAAAATAAGTCCCTGCCTCTAATACCTTTGATTCTGCCCCCGCTGAACCCTTGAAAGCTGAACCTGTAAAGCCCATACACTCCTCCCTGCCTCCTCCCCCATCACCTGAAAGTCCCCAGAATCCAGGTCTCCCATGGCCCACAGGACAAAATCGGTCTCCCGGTCATTGTTCTTGTCCATAACAACCAATCCAGTTACACCTAAGATAACAACGAAAAAAAAAGTAGCCCTTCCTTTGAGATCTACCCTACACCCCTAGTCTATCACCTAGTCCTTCCAATTACCTCGGAGTCCATCCCTGCACCTGCTCTTAGTATGTTTCCACTTCTTCCATGTTCTCTGACCCCTACTAACTCTGCCCCCTGCCCCGGTATCTGTACCTTCTTCTGCCCACTCCACTCTTGAGCCTGATAGCAGCCCTCTGGCCTTCATCTGACCCTCGTTATTACCGTGGTATCTTCGTCCCTGCATCTTTTCCACAATTCGAAGTCCATCTTCCCGGGTGCCTCCTTCCTGTATCGTCTCGTTCAAGACTTCAGCATATAGCAGGATCCCATCATAGAAACAGCCAGCGATGAGGTTCATCTGGGGGCAGTAACTTCAGCAGTGCTCTCCAAAGGTCCTGCCAAGCCCCGTTCCCCAGCCCCCTTGCCCATCGCTGGGGTCTCCTTCTACCTGTTCTCTCTTCTGGTTTGCTTTCTTCCCTCCTCTCATTCCTAAGGTGCCATCCCTACCTCACTAGACACTAGGGCAGAAGGAAAAATCCTGGATGGAAGTAGACAACCCCCAAAGTAGGGCTGGCTCCACAGCCACGGCTTGATGCTAAGTTAGGGAGATGAGCCTTTCCTCAAAGCCCAGCCTGATTCTCAGAAAAGAGAGATCTACTTACCAGGGAGGGGGCCAGCTCCACACCAAAATCTTCCCGGGCTCTTATCAGCAAACGATTCTGGAATTCCTGATACTCAGGATTTGGGGGTTCACGATATGTGATGACCAAAACTGTCTGTACCAAGAGCACATGAGGAAGAGTGAACGGGATTCAAGATGGGCATTAAGGGAAGAAAGGAAACAGGACAGGGAAACCTGGTGAAATACACAGGATATAAAATATACATGAGTGAGTCTGAAGGCTGAGGTACTAAACTCTGTGTGTGTGCCTATGTGAGGGGCAATGGGGTACGTGTGGTGTAAGTTTAATACATCTGGGGAGAAGAAGTGGCACACCTCCATGAAAGGTAGATAGGATGGTTCTCGGAAGGTAGAGCCTGGGAAATGGAGAAAGTCAACTCCATCCCCCAAACCCTGCCCCTCATGTTCCTGAAGTCCCTACCTCCACCTAGGCCTTCATCAAGGCTGCCATAGCACTCACAGCTCCTCTGTCCCATCCTTTCTGGGTACCTATTCACTATTAAGGGCACTATTCACTGATCAACAGCTTCTCTCTGAGGTGTTAATTACTGTTAATGTTATCAGTAAAATGTTTACATTTCCATTTGGGACTTGAACACAGTGACTCCACTCAGTGAATCAAAGAGATTTCAGGTCCTATGACAACTGGGGGAACCACTCTGAGACAATGATTCCATCCGTGAAAAGCCGTGAACCCATTCATAACCTGTGTGAAATACCTACCATAAGCAGCACTGTCTGTATACTGGCATGGTCCTACACATCACTAAGTAATAGACATGTGTCACAGAAAAAAACACAGTCACACGCCCACACACATTTCATAGATAAGCCAGTGACACATTTGGTCTCAGCCACGCACACATCTCACTGGCCATAAGTCTCACTGAGGTGTCTGCCTGGCTCCCACTGGCCTGACACATTTCCCCTTAACTGATGGACATACTAGCCTCCGCCTCCACCTCCACCCCAGGCCTGCACAATTACTAAGGCCAGCCTCTACCTTGGATAGGAAACTGGCACCACAACTTCAGAGAAAGACTTCAGATCGATATGTTTTGTGAAATGAGACTTTGTGAAGTGATGGATTAAAATCTCGTCATTTCTACTAGTTTGTTCATTCCTGTCACAGAAAGTTTATGTAGAGACACTGGGTATACCACATATGCTCTAATATATATCAATTCATTCCAGCTAGGAAATAATGAAGTCAGTTTCTAATGTATATTGATTGTATTAGACTTTTCATTGTTTGCTGTATGATATAATTATTCTTACGGGAGCGTTTGGATGCTTGGTTACACACTTCTAGTACTCTACTGCTCTCAGGCAAAATTAAAAAGGAGAGCAGGACTGAGGATGGGGTTGGAGGAGTTCATTCAGTTAACACCTGCTCCAAGAATAAAAGAAAAATAGAAGGGTAGGATATTGTTGACAAACAATGTAAAAAGTCAGTAAAAGAGCTGGAAAAGATCAGGCTTAACACAATTTATGTTTTAATACAAAGGCTGATGGTAGTTTTTTAATGCTTTTTAAACACTTAGTAATTCTCTGGGTTTGTCTGTTAGACTAGCAGTTCTCAAACTGCTTGGTCTCATGACCCCTTTACACTGCTAAAAGTTATTGAGGACCCCAAAGAGCTTTTGTTTATTTGGATTATATCTATCATATTTACCACATTATAAATTAAAACTGTCAAGTTTTTAAAGCACAAGCACGCCCTCCATAGCTGCCAGAGTGATGACATCATCACATGTCACGTAGCCTCTGGAAAACTCCACTGTACAATCATGGAAGAATGAGAGTGACAGAGGCAAATAACACCTTAGTATAATTTTTAAAATAGTTTTGACTTTGTGGTCCCCTAAAAGGATTTCAGGGGCCCCCAGGATTCCAAGACCACACTTTTAAAAATGCTATGCTAGACTCTGTTTTGCTGTGGTTACTGACTACTAAAAAGAAAAAGAACCTCCAGAGAGTTTCTGTGCTTGCTCGAGAACTAGAGACAGGACAAAGAAGGTAAGTAATTGTGTCCCATTTCACAGGGGACCCCAGGTGAAAAAAAAAAAAATGCAAAGGCTGCCCAAAATGGGCTCGCATTAGGTGCCAACGCCTGCCTCTGCCTGTGGGCCCACCCACACTGAGATCTGCTCTGCAGTAACAGGAGGCACTGTCAACTGTGGCATAAAAAGACAATTCCAAAGAATTGTCTCCAGAAAAGGTTCAGTCTTACATGCAGCCCTTAGTTAAGTGCTTATTTCCATCTGGCTGTCGGTGTCCCCCTTCCGTAACCCATCTCATGCTGGTTACCTAGGTTGTGACCTCCACCTGGGTTTCTGACCCTGTAGCCCTCAAATGCTCAGCCTGGGCCTCTGGATCCTTAGAGCCAAGTCATTTGCTTATTTAGTTCCACTACATCTGCTTATTCCTCGTATCCTAGTTGATCATCTTGGTTTATAGTACCTGCCAGCTCTACTCCTGTCAAGACGAATTCCTAGCCCTCTTCTCTCTCTCTCCAATATACACCTTAATTCAATTCAATGAATTTGTGGTTGGCACATGGAATACAGAGATGAGCATGACTCCTGCTCTCAAGCAGCTAGCTACCCAAAATGAGCTGGGACCTTTTCCTTGAGCACGACACCCTCCTGGTAAAGCTTCTGGCATATGTATTAAGGACTCCTCACCTCTATTGCCACCTTTTCCAGACTGGCCTGGTCTGGGACCCCAGGGGGCCAGGTATTTCTGGGGTAGGGTACTCACTCTGCTCTTACATCCTTGGCTGGAACTGACCACCCAACTTCCCTCACCTTTGCCCTGCTTCAGCATTGGGAAAGGATGAGCACAGCATTGCCAGAGAATCCCTCATCACCCCCTCACCCCATCCTGCCCCAAAGCCTTGGCTTTCTCAGCATATTCTTGACTGCCTGTTTCCCCTTCTGTCATATTGTAGCAAATTCTCCCTTTCTTTTTCTGTCCAAATAATGCCTACAGTAAGTAGGAGAACTGAGAGTTAATTTACGTAACTGAATGTTAGCTGACTAGAACCCTCCGCCCCCTATCCTAAGTGGTGGGGCTCCATTGGCTGGTAGGAATTCTCACACAAGAAAGAGAGGTGTTCTTTCCACAAAAAGAATACAGCTCAGAAGGCTATGGAGTCCTCCCATCTGGAAGGGTCATAGAGAGCTTCCCCGACCGTACTAGCTAAGGTGCAATCCCCTCAGTATTCTCTTCTCATACCACTCTACCCGTTTTTTTTTTTAAGTCACACATCACAATTTGTTCCATTTATATTTATTTGCTTATTTGTTTCATGTTTGTCCTACTAAATGTAAGCTCCAAAAAGGCAGGGCCTACATCTGCTACGGTCGCCACCGTATACCACTGGTACCTAGCACAGTGACTGGTACATAGTAGGTGCTCAATAAACACTAATAGACTGAGTCTGTCTTCAAATCAATCAAACGCTGACTGAATAACGTGTAAGTTCTATAGGAGACGGAATTAAGCACAAGGGGAAACTCAGTCCATTTTGGGAATTCAGTTTCCTAGAAGGGAAAGTAACTGGTCTGAGTCTTGAAGAATACATAAGCATTATCCAGAAGGACAAAGGTGAGATGGTTGTTTTAGGCACAAGCTAGAGCGTAACAAAACCTGTCTGCCAATATCCATGTTCAGGTGTAACAGTCACAGATTCATACTCTGGCATGCAACAGATAATGCCATTCACAGTCAGACACATACTGGTCAATCACAATCACATATATAATCACAGCCACATAAAACCTTACTCACCCAAGTCCAGCCCTTGTACACAACTACTTAGAGTCAAAGAGTCTCAGATATGAAAGGATCCGAAGGTTATTTCATACACTATCTCAAATCCTTTTTGGGAAAAGGAGACATATGGATAAATAAGAAATACTCATGTATATAAGTTAGTGAAAAATTCATGGGAGGATCAGGGAACAATTCACGGGTATGATTTTGAGCAGCAGAGATTCGGAGCGAGGGAAGGAAGAGTATTCCAGACAAAGGATCAAACAGCACAAAGGCGAGGTGGGGTGCAGGGAGGCCTGGGGTCAGGGGCTGGAGTATTCAGGCATGAAGGGCACATGAAAAAGTGGGTTGAGATCAGATTGTAGAAGGTCTTAAATGCCATGTTAAGGAGTCAGGACTTTTATTCTGTAGGAAATAACTCACTGACAGTTTTGAGCAGAGCAGTGAAATGAACAGAGTCATCTATTTTC